GGATCTCAGAACCCTGAGTCTTCTGGTCCCTCTCCTCCAGGCTCATCAGTGCTGAATCTCTCATCAGTCAGTCCTGCAGCCATGCTGACCCCAGCATGTCTCCCTTTATGTAACGTTCCATCCCACACATGGACCAAACGTGCTTCCTCTTTCACTGCACCAGAGCCGAGACTAAATATCTAACGGTGTTAGATTTTACCAGAGACCAGGGGATGATACATGAGAAAGAAAAGGAGAGTAAGCCACAGTTGCTAATTTGCTTTTTGGAAACGAAGTTTATGCACCTTCAACTGACTCTTCCGTAGGACCACCTGCCTGCCTCTCTCCTGTCCTGCGGCCGCAGGTCAGAGGCCATCTGACCCCTACTATCCAGGAATGCCACGCATGCATTGTAAGTCCGCAAAACTTAAGCGTGGCATTTGAAGGGAAGTGATTAGATAGAGAAGGGGATGTGTGCGTGAGTGGAGGAGAGAAGCGGTGTATGCCTCCCTAACTCCTTGTGAGGGAAGCAGATCTAACTCTTAAACCTCGATAGAGCTTTCAAGTACATATAAAATCATTTCTCAGGTTACGATTCCTGAGTCACACACCAAGTCACACACCAGTTGACCTGTAGATTTTGTGGAGAGACCTACCATTGCCCTGTCCTAGTACTCTGAGCCTCCAAGCATTACAACTGTGTGATACTGTTATGCCTGGAAGTCCAGACCCCAGGAAACATGGCCAAAGAGAGGGGGTTTCCCACTTGAGTTGTCCATCGGAGGACTCGCTTTTCTGGATGATGGGATACGAGAGTGGCTGATACTGGGAACAAACAGCTCCCTACTTCCAGGCCAGCCCCATCTCCTTCCTGCAGAGGAGTGGTACTCCTTTGATCTCAACAAGCTAAGCAGATCAGAAAACATCTCAATAATTCGTCTGAGTCACGCACACATAATGCAGCTGGTGTTAGTGGAGCAAGATGGCCTCCTTCCAAGAAGCTAAAGGATTTCTGTGTCTCCAGCTCCGAGCACAACACTTGACATAAACTAGGTGGCTCGGAGTCTTCATAAAAGGCTGTTAAAAGGAAAGCAACGTGCTTTGGTCGTGTTTGTTTAGTATCCCTTGAAAAAGCTCTTACTCGATTATGATACACAAGTAAGCTGATTACAACAGATAAGTACAAAATTCAGATGTGAAGTTCCTCCTGGGCCAAAGAGAAACCAGCTGGCTTATACCGTGTTCACAGACTGGCAGAGAGCAAACAGACCCTTCCTTGAACCCGCAAACCTCCTAAGATAACTTGAGGTATTTTATCCTTAAAAGATTTAGATTTGGATAATGGTGTCCCTTGTAGACATCATCTCATATTTCTGCACTGTTGATCCATCCCTTTCTGCCCTCCCATCATCCCTGTCTTCTACATGGCTTTTGTCTTCCTTTTTAACCATCCTGTTTCACTTGGCTCTGCATCGCCCCCTCCCTCAAGTCGTTCTGGGGGCAGCATGGAGGGGAGGAGGGAGCAGTAGATGGAAGGGGTCTAAACAGAGTCAGACTTGGACTCTGCATGGCCAGGGTGTTTCCCTCGACCCTCCTCGAACCTCATGCTCTTCACTTGTCAGCCAGGGGTAACGTCTCTTACCTCGCCATGTTGTCATGAGGAATAGAAGAAAATATATGCAAGCTGTGTCACTTGTAACACAGTAGACTCTCAATAAATTTAAGTTCCCTTCCTCTTTCCTACTCTCCCTTCGGAAAGTAGTCAGGACATAAATTATACATAAATAAATCACAGATTGCCCTGGAAATCCTCAAATGATTCATGTAACCCGTAATAATTTTAATATTAATAATAGGCAGCTCTCGCAGCACCATCCTGATTCTGACAATCAATCTGCGTGTCCCAGCTTCGTCCTCAGACAACCAGCAGTGTCAAAGTTTACCCCAGAAAGAGGTGAATGCACAGGATTTCCCATTTTTGAACATTTCTTAAACTCTACCTTTTTTACATCACAGTATTCTGTAAACCATTACTTATGGTGCAAAGTGTAAGCAATATGTTTGCCAAAAAATTAATGAATGGAAACACTAAAATCCTACAGGCAGTACCTGAGGCTGAAAGTAAGGTTTGGAAGCATGAGGAATGTGCTGGAAATACTGATGTCTGCTGCTCAGTGTGCCTGGGAAGGGACAGGACCGCGCTGGAGAGCATGGCGCATCATTCTCAGGACCAGAGGGGCAAACTGAAGGCACGGGCTTGAAAGACAGAAATGTCTAGTCAATACTGAGCCTAACTTCCGCCCACGTGTCTGCTAAGCTTTCTCACAGAATGAGAGACGGGCTCAAAGAACTCTTCAAGCTCTCCGATTCTGTGAATTTATTTATTATTCTGTATTTCTCTGAGATTAAGTCCTCAGACTTCTCTGAGTGTGGGCTCAGGAGCCAGGCTTCCTGGGTTGCAATGTCTGCTCTTCCACTTGCTAACCCTATGACTCCGAATCGGTGACTTTAACTGGTATGTGCCTCAGCTTCCTCACCTGGAAAACGGGAATCATAATCAGAACTAAGTAAGGTGATGTTTGTAAGGCCCGGGGCCCCATTTCTGGTGGGCAGGAGATGTTCGGTCAGTCATTTCCTGGTCCATGATTAAGTGGAGATCACTGAAGCTAGCAGCAGGCCACCAAAGCACCCTGTAGATCTAGGAAGATCTCCGAGTTCTTTATTCAGTTGAATTCTTTATTCCAAAGGTGTAATGAGATCTGACTAAACTTAGGTCAAACCCCTAATTTCACATTACCACCCCCACAACGTGTGCTCTTGGGACTCACCTCTTCTGCTCCACCCACCCACATAAGCATGTGTGAGTTCTTCTGATACCAGGCTGGATGCAAGGACCTGCTTACTCACGGGGTAAGGGCTCGCGAGCAAAATGGGGTCATTATAGGGAAATAAAACAATGCTACTTCATTAGTACATCCAAGTCTAGCACATGCATTTTGACAGTGATAAAGCCATCATTAGCTGAGAAGGAGACGGTAAAGGAAGGGAGGAACCGACGTTTTTGGTGCTTATTTAGTACTAAGCTCTGTGAAGATTTTCACGTGGCACAGTAATCTTCAAGCCAACACTGCAGACCCTCTTACCTAGATGTACAGGTGAGGAACGTATGTCTCAGAGGGTTTCAGTGACACTCCCACGGCCAACATCTAGTAGGGAAACTGAGTTTAGCATCTAAAGGATCGTGAGGAAATAATGGGATCCTACAGGGGTCAAAGAGTCACAGTTCTTAAGCCCACTTGCAGAATACTCCTAACAGCTACCAGTAAGTAGTGTTACAACGTCCTATAACCTGCTATTGTGGCTTGTCCTGAGCCAAACCAAAAAGCGCAGAGTTCTCAATCCTGCTGGGTGCTGAGAGGTGAGAACCCTTCTGACCGTCTCCATCCCTCTCTGCCTTCATAGGTTGGTCTAGAGCCACCAGGGGGAGCCCTTGCATTAAGCGCAAAGGGAATTTGACAGCCCAGTGATCAGCTGGGGCTGGGAGGAGGGCTCCAAGTTCTCCCCCGAGCTTCTGCAGGTGATTCTTCACCGTACTGTGTACAGATGGACACAGGACATCCTTGCCCTTGACCTGAGTGAAGGCCAGGCTCAGAGGGAAAGTCACAGAGAAACCTGGGCCTGTGCCCCATTCAGCTGGGCAGGGTGGGCCCCCCATCTGACTGTGGGCAGAGCCCACGTGACACTGTAGGTCAAACTGTGAGTCATAAAATCAGTGGAGTGAGTGTGCTGACCATTGATTTTTTTAAAATGAAATCGCACATCATGGCTCAGAAGCGAACAGAAAGTATCAGCATGATCGCACACAGTACAAATGAGGATTGTTTTGAGAAATGTTTGTAATGTAACGTTTTCTAAATGTAAAAGCTAAACCTATGAGTCATTGCTTATTAAAACACCTTGACCTAAAAAGCTTATTAAAATCCAAATTCCCATACCCTCGATCAGCAGAGCTGACTCCTGTTGGCCTTGGGGCCTTGAAGCCTGTATTTTTAATATAAGCCCCCGCAGCGGTGATGATCCGCCAGGGATGTGAGCCAGCTGACAGAGGACATGGGGAGGCAAGGGGGCTTTCCTTACCTGCCCTCCCCCTCCTCTCCCCTGGACTGGGCAGGAGAGGCTTTTCATTTCATGAGCTTGGCCCTAGTGAAGCTGGAAACCTCGCAGAGACTGAACTTCAAGGGCTGCCTGCTGTGCGGGCCTCCAACCCCCAGGACAGCTGGGAGCTCTTAAGAACTGGGAATTCGGGATTGGGTTTCCAGCACCAGCTCTGCCAGAAAAACAAAAAGTGCAAACACACACACACATCCCTCAGAAGAACAAAATCCCTTTAGAGTCAGCCCGACCTGTGTTTAAACCTTGATCCTTGTACTTACTACCTATGTGACCGCGGGGCAGGTTACAGGATCTCTCTCAGCCTCAGTTCCCTTCCCTTTTTTAAAACTGAAGTATGGTTGATTTACAATGTTGTGTTAATTTCCGGTATACAGCATAATGAGATATATATATGTGTATCTTTTTCATTGTAGGTTATTACAAGATAGTGAATATGTTCCCTGTGCTGTACGTGGAACCTTGTTGTTTATCTCTTTTATAATAGTTTGTATCTGCAAATCCCAAACTCCTAATTTATCCCTCCCCCCATCCCCCTTTGGTAACCATGAGTCTATTTTCTACATCTGTGAGTCCGTTTCTGTTTTGTAAATAGGTTCCAGTACTTCCGATGGCTGTGGCAGTGTTGGTGTATAATCAGGTGTCCAATGTTCAGATGGTGCCAGACCGAAAACAGGTGCCCCATTATAGCAGCTCCCTCTGACCTCCCTGAAACCCCGCTGTGAGCCTGGGCATGTTCTGTCCCCTTTGGGCCTTGGTTTCCCTTTCGTTTTGTGAGGGTATGTTGCCATCCGTGGGGGTGGGGTTGGGTCAAGGAAGATAAGGAAGATGACACTGTCCAGCCTGAGTTTATTCACCAACAGGAGCCCCGCCGCCCCCGTTTCTCAGCTACTCCCCCGTGCCCTGGGCACAAAGTGAACTGCCTGCACAGTGACTGTCAGACCAGCCTGGGGGTGGACAGTGGGAGGGCTGCGTGCTGAGAAGGGCCCAGAGTCTGCCGATCTTTGGACAGAGGGGTCCCTCTTGCCCCCCTGCAGGTGCTGGTCCCGAGAACCTGGCGGATGGAGGTGGGTGCACGCCCCGCCCCCGCCGGGGGCAGGAAAGCTCCGGCCCAAGCAGGGGGAGGAGCTGCCGCCCAGGTGGGGCAGGTGGAGATCCTGGGCTCAGGTGTGTCCCTTGCAGAGGGAGGTGATTGTTTCCTGACCGGCGCAGGCGGGGCCAGACGGACCCTTGGCCCCAGGATCCAGCTCTGGGAAGCTGGTTTTGTCTCCCAGACTCTGCCTCGGAGGAAAGCCATGGAAGGGGTAAGGCGAGGGGGTCTGACTGCTGGGTCTTCTGTGGGTGCTTTCTCGCCGGGTCGAGCTTGGGGAAGGGCTACCTGGGCACCCTGCCTCCTGGAGAGGAATAAAGGATGACTTAGTGCTGCCCAGCTCACACTGGCCTGGCTCCAGGCAGGTGGGGTTCAAGGGGGGGGGGTGCGTACTTATCCTGTGCCACCTGGCAGGGTGAGGGGACAGAGGCTGTCAGGAATGGTGGCCTGAGGGTCCCCAGCTCGAACCCTGCCACCTGGATCTCTTACCTACCCCACCCCCAGCCTGGATGTAAGTGAATTTTTGGCCACTCGGTTTGCTTGCCTGTGTAGTCTGTGTCCACCTGAAATTAGTGAGCTTTTTGGTCAGAAAGCAGGGCTGTGGAGGCTCTTTTATGGCTTTCCTGCCGGCTCTGCTCCTAGTTAGCTGTGTAGCCTGGGGCCAGTAAGTTCATTGTCCTAAGTCCCCAGGTTCCTCACAGGTAAAACAGGATTAGTAGTAGAATAACTAGTTTGCAAGATTATTGAAGGTGCTTGTAAAAATAGAGAGGACTTACGAGGAAGTGCCCAGCACAAAGCGGGTGGAATTCCCTTCCCCTTGGATGGCAACGTGCTGTTGGCCTGGTTGGCGAATTTCTCCGCCTGACTGAGTGTCTTCTCCTTTTTCCTCCTTCCTTCTGTAAATCTCCACCCTCTCCCTTCCCTTCTTCAATGTCAGTTTCTTTATGGGGAGGGGGAGGGGGACAGGGGTGTGTTTTGCATCCATATCTTCTTTACTGTATACCTTTGGAGTCAAGTCGTTTTCTCCTGTGAATCCCGTGGCTTCCTTCTGGAGGCTGTTGTTCAATTGGGACAGGGGACCCATTTTAACAGTCACCCATCAGCAAAGCTCCCCTTTGTCCCAGGGCGTGGGACATGTGTCTCTCTGCAGCTGATCACTCCAGTCTAACTAGCTGAATTTTGGAAGTGGGTGAGCAGAGGCGTATTGTTACTGCTTCCGTCTCCCCTCCTCTGAATTCTCTCCCTGACTGCCCTGTGGTTTAGCAACTTTTGAGAAGTTCCTCTTGATGGAAAACTGTCAGGCTCAATCGATCTAGTGTGGTTGTGAGAAAAAGAAACTGACTTGTATGTTGCCCTCTCTGATGTGCCAGGATATTCACTGGCATCCATTATTTCAGTTTAGCCACATGAGAACACAGGTTGATGCCATCCACCCCAGTTTTCATAGAGAGGAAACAGGGTCTGTCAGTTGCTTAATATCATGCAGCTGGTAAGAAGCGGGGCTGGAGCGTGGGTTTCGGCTTGTCAGTAACAAATACTGAGTGCCAATTATAAGCCAGGCATCATTAGCAAGAATGATGACAGGGAAAGAAGTGGAATGTTAGGCCATTTAGAGAAAAACGTATCAAAGGGCATGTTAGCTAATCACATTTTCACAGGATAAGATAAGCAATTGTGGGATAAGCGGGTGTGGTTGTGCAACTTTTTCTGCTCAGAGAAAGGGAAAAAAGCTCCAAAGAGAAATCTGGGTTCTCATTTTGGAAGGAGGATTTTGGTTTTTTTTTTTTAGGCCAACAAAATACCCATCTAATCTGTATATACTGAGCACCTGCGTTGTGTTGTCGGGGTCTGTTCACGAGCTACAGATGCAGCAATGACCCAGTCAGAGACGCCTGCCTTTACTAAACTTGTGTTCTAGTGGAGAGGACACACACACACACATATGTATGTTAGGTCAAACAGCTGTGAGTGCAGTGGAGAGCCGCAGAGCAAGGAAGAGCTTAAGGACAGGGAGGCAGCAGGAGAGGCTGCTATTTTAAATGGGATAGTTTCAAGAAAGGCAGCAATGTTATGTGACATTTGAGCAGAAATTTGAAGGAGGTGAGGACGTTGGCCATGTGGCTATCTTAGGGAAGAACATTCTGCAGGGAGATAACCGCCAGTGCAAAGGCCCTGGGACAGAAGCTTGTCTGGTGTGTTCTACGGGCAGTAAAATGGCCAGAAGAGCTGGCGCAGTGGAAGCAAAGGAGAGAGTGGTCAGAGGTAGCAGTCAGGTCATCGAGGGTGCTGGAGGGTCTTGTAGGAATTTCAGGTTTTCCTCTGAGCGAGATGGAGAGCACCTGAGTGAGTAATGGGAGTGGCACGAGGGAATGATCCAACTTACTTGTTAAAAGGACCACGTGGCTATTGTTGAGCAACTAGATGATAAGGAGAGCAGGAGTGGAAGCTGGCTGACCCACTAGGAGGCTAGTGCCGTGATCTAAGAGTGTGGTGGCTTAGACCAGAGTCTTAGCAGTAAAGGTGGCTACTTTATATGGATATATATTAAAGATAGATTCAACAGGATTAACTGATGGATTGGGAAAGGAAAATGTGAAAGAAAATGACTCCAAGGTGTGAAGCTTGAGCACCTGGAAGAATGGCGTTGACATTTAATGAGATGATTTAAGGTGGAACAGGTTTGCAAGGAGATCGGGGTCAGTTTTAGACATAGTAAGTTATAGGTCAAGGAGCTGAGTAGGCATTTGGAGATTTGGGTTTAGAATTCAAGGGAGAGGCCCAGGCAGGAAGGATGATTGAGATCATGTATCTTCGTTGTCCAGCGTAATGCTAGGTGCGTGGTCATACTTAGTATGCGATACAATGGCAGTTTTCAAACTTGGCTACGCATTCCGACATTCCTCCCATCAGGAAGTGAAGCCTATGTTCCCTTCACTTGAATCTGGGCAGAATTATGAGCACTTTGGCCAGTAGAGCATGACAACTGTGACATCATTTGTCTTCAGAGGCTATGTCATAAGAGGCCATGCAGCTTCAACCTCAATTGTGTTTAACACTCCGTCTTGTAGCTCCCAGCCCCCATGTAAGAGGGCTGGGGAGACACCTTGCAAAGCTGCTCTGCCCGATGGTTCCTGCTAAGCCTTCCAGTACTCCTGCAAGACAAGAACCAGGGCTCTCTAGACCAGCCCGTCTACCAGGGAGATACCCCTGGGTTCCCTTCATCAACACCCTGTGGAACAACAGAAGAATCACCCAGCTGAGACTTGCCCAGGTTGCTGTCTCACAAAATTGTGAGATGTGGCAAAATGGTTATTCTCTTAGGCCACTCAGTTCTGAGGTGGTTTGCTTTACATCAGTAGATGCAGGAAGAATTAAGTGTCCTTCATTCACTTTAGTTACGAAAAATGTATCATTCTCCCCGGTAGACAGAAAGCACCAGGGAATTCTATAAAAATATATTTTGTTACATAGTGTCTAAACTTGCATATTTCATTATATAATGTCCAGAGAGGGTGATGGGTTTTTCTCTTTCTGAGAGTGAATTTCCCCTAGTGCTTTCCCTCAGCCAGGCAGGCTCACAGTTGGCGAGAGAGAATCACCGCGTGTTTGAGCTGGGCGGGGGAGTCAGTGGGGTAGCTTAGAAAATGGGAATTGAACTCTTGATGAATGAGCACTGGAGTTGCAGGGGAAAGACCCGTGTCCAGGTGTACTTCTACCTCTTACTAGTCAAGCAGTCTGAGCCAGGCATTGAACAGTAGAAGCTAAGAGCTGGGAGATTTCTCCAAGACCAGCCGGTCTAGCGACTCCCATTTAGAAGATGGGGAAACTCAGGGCCCATGGGGGACGGTGGCCACGCAAGTTGTAACTACTTACCCACATGCCTGGTGTATAGGAGGTGCTCTTAAATGTTCTTGTTGATTTTGAGAGGAAACTCTGACCGCTGGGCCCCCCTCTTTGATTATTCAGTAGAAACTCACCAAACATTTTCTCTGAGTCAGGCCTCAGCTTAGAATTTTTGAGAGGGAGCTGGTTCTAGATGCCCGCCAGCTATTCATTATTGCAGGGGAGAATGCCAAGAAAACAGTCAATTGCAGCACTAAATAAAAAGTCGGATAATGAAGAAAGGCTCAGATTTCAACAGGAGCACTGAGCATGAGGGCCTAACCCAAAGCGGGAACATCCTGGGTGAGTGGGAGGCAGTGTCTGAGCTGCAGGTCAGAGGAGGAGTGGGCAGCATGTCACCAAGGAAAGAGGGAAGGAGAGGTGGGGAGGAAGGCAGCAGGGGGCCGCATGAACAAAGGAGCAGAGGTGAGCAAAGGGCGGGGTGAGAATCCAGAGGACCCAAGAGAGAAAACAAAAAGGAGCAGCTAGAATCAATCCCACGAAGTCAACAGGGGCCAGATACCAAAGACTGACGTTCTTTACCCTGGAGGCCAAGGGCGCAGCCGAGGGGCTTCACCTCCCAGATGGGGAGACTGACCGAAACGTCCCCCGCAGCCTTGTTGTGCTCTGACCTTCTGGGGCAGCAGGACTTGCCCAAGGCCACGTGGGGCTGACTTTTGGCAGAGCTGAGGTTGAGGCTGGAACCCGGGTTCTGACATGCCTGGGAAAGCACTGAGCAAGCCCGCAAGAGCAATTTCAGGGGTTCTTCCTGAATAACCTGATTTTTCATGAATAGATCCTGAGAGGGTAACATCTGGAAAAGAGGATGGGCCAGCTGAGAAGGCTCTGGCCTTAGAGCTGGTCTATTGTTAAGGAGCTTGTTTTGGGATGGAGGGGAGGGGAGTGCTCTGGGGATTCAGATCGGATCGTTGGGGTGAGGCTTCTTGTGAGTTCCAGGAGAGTCTCTGAGAAGGGGAGGAGGAAGGATCACAGAGTTATTCACGATTCCTAAAGACTGGCCAGCCCACTGCTGTCTGTGCAGAGAAACTTTGCAGGGGCCTCTCAGGCTGTGTTGCTTTGTCCTTGACGGGGACACATGAAGTGACCTGCCCGGTGCCTGCTGTTCACGCAGCCAGCCTTAGCCAGCAGCACGGAGCCCAGGGTTTACCCATCGTCGTAACCTTGACTTTGAGTCGAACTTCCCCTTTCCCAGACTGTGCAGCTACGTTTCTCTGCTGGAGAGATGGTTCTAACAGGCGAATCTGATCATGTCACTGCCCTGCCAGGTCCCTTCAGCTGTCCCCCCTGCCCCCTTGCCTGTGTGGTTGAGCC